GGATCACCACAAAGTTCAAGGCCAACCTGGACTACATAGTGAGTTCGAGTCCAGCCTAAACAGGACTCTGTCTCAAAAAAAAAAAAAAAAAAAGTAGTGTACAGAGAAGGCAGATTCTAACAGGGAGGACTATGGCAGAGAAGGAGGACTTAATAAAATAAATAACATGATAGAAAGGTTTAGAAAATATTGAGTATTTGATAAAGGCAAATAGTACAAAAATAAGGCAGGAATAGCTGAGTATTGTTGGATACACCTGTAACTCCAATATTCGGGGAGGCTGGGGTAGAAGGATCACAAGTTTAAGGCTAGCCTGGGCAATTTGGAAGCACTATGTCTCAAAATAAAAAATTAAAAGTGCTAGGGTATAGCTCAATAGTGCTTGCCTAACATGCATGAGGTGCTGGGTTCAATTCCCAGCATCACAAAAAGAGAAAAAAAGTCATTATTGGTTCCTGAAGCATGCTTTGGAAAACACTGATTTAACTGACTCCCCCCATTTTACATTTCAGGAAAGAAAGGCTCCTTTAAAGCCTGTTCAGGAAAAGATGGTAGGGGAACTGGCATCTCAAGAAAAAAAAGGCTTCAGGATTTTTTTTTTTTGGTATCAGGGATTGAACTCAGGACCTTGGTGCTTGTGAAGCAGGCATGGTGCCACTAAGCTAAATCCCCTGCCCACCTTCAGAATTTTTGAAGCAATATTCAGTGATTAGACAAATGTGGACTGTGATTTCTCAGTCTTTCTTTGAGCACCTGAGTTCTTTCAAATCAGGAAACAAGCATTCAGACAAAAGCATCTCCTTTGTAGATTTTTAAAGGTTTTCTGAACCTTAAGGAGCCTAAGAGGAGGGCCCGAGTGTTGGCTTGAGCTCAAGCCATAAGCCCTAGAGCAAGAATCAAAAAACAGACATAATGGTGAGTTTCAGTGGCAGAAGGACCCCTAGTTGAGCAATAGTAATGTGGTAATCAGCCTTTTATGTGCCAGGCTTGATGGCACATGCCTATAATCTCAGCACTTGGGAAGTTGAGGCAGGAGGATTGTGCGCTTAAGCCCAGCTTGACTATAGAGCAAGACTCTGTCTCAAAAAACTAAAAAAAACCCCAAAAAACAAACAAACAAAAACCCTAACATTCAAAGTACAGTGTTTCCAAATAAATTAATAAATAAATACTTTTACAGGATCATCTGATTTTTTAAAACAACCTAGTGAGAAAGATAAAAGTGGAATTACTATTCCCATTTTATGAAAGAGGAAAATGATTCTGAGGTAGTAAAATACTTTGCCTGTGGTCACAGGGCAAGTTAATGGCAGAGTTGGAATAAGAACCTAAATTTCTTGTTTCTCAGATTAGTGTACTTCTCAGTATATCACACAAACTGGGGAAATTTATTTTTTCTTTTTTTGGTACCAGGGGATCAAACTCAGGACCTTGCACTTGCAAGGCAGGCGGCAGCAAAGAAATTTTGACTAATTATTAATTTAGTTCTTCCGTGAAGCATCCAACCCATTCTTATTAACTAGTTTTAAAAAATAGATCAGTTTGCAGACTGCTTATGGGTGGTGGCAGAAGTGATACCCCAGTTACTGGAACTTCAATGTCTTATTTAGGTTAAGTGTAGTAATACTTCCTAGAGAGCTACATTGCTAGGAAAAGGAGGTCTTAGAAAGTTCCTACAGGACTGAGTAGCTGAGGAAGCTGTATTGCCTAGTTCTACAAGCAAGGAATCAGACAGACTTGGGTTTGAATTTTGACTCTGTCACTTTATGACTTTGTTCACTATGTAACATTTCTTTGCTTAAGTTTTACAGCTGTAAAATGCAACTAACACCTATTTTGCAAAGCTGTTAAGAGGTTAAGGTAAGGAGTTAGAGTAGTATACAGTATCATGTTTAAAAATTTAAGCTCTGTCTTATACTACCCAGGTTTGAATCTCAGTCCTGCTTCTTGTTAGGTGTTTGACTTCAGAAGTCATTGAATTTTTCAGAATTTCAGTTTCCATATATGTAAAATGAAGAAAAGAAATAGTGCTATCATAATTGCTGTATCAAATGAGATAGTGTTTGTTAAGCACTTAAGCATAATGTCTGGCACATAGCCCAGGAAAAAGTAACGATAACAGTGATAGTGATGGTGAAAAATCCAGTATTCACGTTTTCTTCCCAAAGCAAGAATGGGAAAGAAAGCTACTCAGTCCTGTTCTCTTCCAGTTACCACCCCCTCCCTTCTTCCTCTTTAACCATAGGCCAAGAACGCTAGCCAACAAGGCAATACACATGGTTTTAAATTCAATCTTATCACATACTGTTCATGTTTTTTTTTCAGTACTTAAACCTAGGACATGCTAGGTAAGTGCTCTACTACTTACTGAGCTACATCTCCAGCTCTTTTTATTTTATTTTGAGACAGGGCCTTGCTAAATTGCCCAGTTTGGCCTTGAACTTTCTATCCTCCAGCTTCAGCCTTCCAGAGAGCTGGGATTACAGGTGTGTGCCTCCACACCCAGCTGGTTATGAGACTTTGAAGAAAAGAATTTAACTTCCTTGAAGTATTTTTATGATACTTTGTTTACTCTGAGGTGTTATAAGCACCAAATGACTTAATAAATTTTAAAGTAATTAAAATTATATAGTGTGAAACACTATATAATAGTATAGTGTGACTATATAATAGGATAGGTGACTCTTTTTATCTGGCACAAAATAAAAAATAAATATTATTACCAGTAAAAAGCAACTTTATCTCCAAGTTTCTTCTCATGGACATTTCGATCCAGTACATTGTAGCAGATATTGGTAGTTGCTCCTTTCATCCATTCAATGAAGATTTTTCCTTTAGTCACATCAAAGTTATACTGCAGGAATGGGCCGAGACATGGGGTCTTCCAATAAAATTCCTTGGCAATATCTCCCCAAAACTCTGCAACAACAAAAAACCCCAGGCAACATAACTAAGATTTTCAGAGATATTTGTCCTATGATGGCTTACCAATCTATGCATGGGACCAAGTTACAACTTTCTTATCCTAGGACCCTTCCTCACCTATCTAATCTTGTCACCTACCATTCTCCTTGCAGAAGCTGCTTTTTTTTTTTTGCTACCGGGGATCAAACTCAACACCTTGCATTTGTGAGGCAGATGCAGTGCCATTGAGCTAAACCACCAGCCCTACCATTCTTCGAATGTACTTTTATTTCCATGGGCTGAATCTTGATTCAAATTCTTCCCTTTGTCCTTAAAACTGTCTACCCATTTTTCATAGTAAGTATTCAATAATTTTTTTCTTTTGTGGTACTAGGAGTCATGCCGGTAAAATTTTTAATGAAATAGTGAAAAGAAGAAATTGTTTTCCCACAGACATGACCATCTTTTGCTTCTCTCAAATTGTTCATTCTCTCTTCACAATCATTTATTGAGCATCCCCTTCCTTCTATTACCACTTACACAGTGTTACTGTGTGTCAGATGTTACTTTAAACTCTTTACATGTAGTATTTCATTTAATCCTTATCATGAAGGAAGTATTATTTCACTCTCATTTTCATTGTTTTTTTGTTTGTTTTGCTTTGTTGGTTTTTTGAGACAAGGTCTCACAATGTAGTTTAGGCTAGGCTTGAACTCACTATGTAGCCCATGGTGGCTTCAAACTCGGTAATCCTTCTGCCTGAGCCTCTCAGAGTGCTGGGATCACAGCCATGTGACTGGCTCACTCTCATTTTATAAATTTGAAAATCAAGGGTCAGAGAGGTTAACTAAGTTGCCTCAGGTTACACATTTTACCTAAGTCAAGATTTGAACTTTGGTGAGGAAGATATTTTTGCTAAAAACCAAAAGATGAGTTTTTCTCTAGTTTCTCACCAAATGAGAGCACAAATATCGGATGTGAGGGAACCTGGACTTATGTTAAGAGAAACTCTTTGAGGCCAAAACACTAAGAATAAAGAAAACAAGAACTAATGCTGGGATTTATACATAATTGAGCAGATCATGCAATTATTCTGTGCATGATAAGGAATCTGATATTTATCCCAAGGACATGGAAAGTCATTAAAAGGCTTTAAACAAGAGAGCTACCTGATCAGATTTACATTCTTAAAAATCTGCCTTTTTTTTTTTTTGGTACCGGGGATTGAATTTAGGACCTTGCGCTTGCAAGGCAGGCAGCAGAACCACTGAACTAAATGCCCAGCCCAAAAATTTGCCTTATTACTCTGGAGAAAATATACTCAACAAGTAAGACAAGCAAAGGCAGAGAATTAAGGATGAGTACTGGTTTGGGAGTCATAGGGGAAAGAGACACTTAGAACTTAAACAAGGGATGAAATCTTAGAAATTATGACCCCCTAGTTTCATAAGAAACAAAATCATATAGACTAAATAATTTGTTCCAGGTTCCATGATTTAGAATTTATACAATCTAGGCTAGACATGGTGGTATAGGCCACTCTCAGCTACTCAGAAAGCTGAGGCAGTTCAAGACCAGGTTGGGTGACACCTTGAGGCCCAGCCTCAAAAACAAACAAACAAGGCTGGGGATGTAGCTCAGTGGTGCTGCGCCTGCCTGCCAAGTGCAAGGAGGTCCTGAGTTCAATCCTAGTTTCTGCAAAAAAACAAACAAACAAAAGAAAAAATAATTTAAACAATCTACATGGAGAGAAAAGACTAATACAAGAAATAGTTTTGAATATACAAAAGAATATAATTTAAAGCTAAATCACAATCTATTAAGGAAATCCAAACTATATCAATATTAAGGTGCATTATATACTAATAAAACTAACAAAGATTAAACTCACTGGTTTGGTGGTCCTGGGAAAATAGATATACCTATACAATAATGACATTGTAAGAAATCAGCACAATCTTATTGGATAGCAGGGCAATGGCTGACAAGAGCCATAAATTTTTTGACCCTTTTATTGGCTAACTCAACTTTGAGGAATATACTCAAGAGAACAAAGTGATTCCTAAAGAAATGTTTATAGCAACACTGTAAATAATAGAGAAACTGGAAACAACTCAAAACCCCCAAAATTGAACTCAAGACCTTGCAATGCTAGGCAATCTGATGAACACTAATAATGCAATAGGATACTGAATAGCTATTAAGGAAAAAGCATATGGCAACTGGCATTTAGTGAATGCTACTCATGTATCAGAACTAGATTAACTTTATTTAATCTTTATGACAGTATGTTATAGTCCTACAAAATATATATTACTCTAATTTTATAGATGAGAAAACTAAAGCTCAGAAAGCCTAAGAAACTCTCCAAAGGACTATACACTGAACAATGAGAATGCAGACACTCAAAAATATGCTTGCCCAGCTGAGCACGGTGACACACACCTGTAATCTCAGCACTCTGGAAAGCTGAGGCAGGAGGATCGCAAGTTTGAGCCCAGCCTGGGCAACTTTTTTGAGACCTTGTCTCAAAATAAAAAGGGCTGGAGATGTAACTTAGTACAAAGGGCCTGGGTTCAAACCCAGTACTGGGGAAAAAAAAAAAAAAGCTTGCCTAGCATTGTGAGGTCTTGGGTTCAATAAAAAAGAGGAAAAAGACAAGAACAGATTGGGATGATGAATTGGTAGTTTAATTAGGTAGAAAGGAACAGAAGGAAAATGAAGCAGCGAGGTAAGAGGGACTTTCATGTATCCAAGATATCAAGAATGACCTGTTTAGAATGAGGGGTGTGGTAAGACCTAATAGTAGATAAGAATAAAGAGGTGGGGTAGGTCTAGATTAGAGACCTTGAAAGAAAAACAAGTTTAATTTGAAACTGTAGGAAATAAGGAAATACTAAAAATTTTTGAAACTACACAGGAAAGCAAGTGTTTCCAGAATACCATCCTAATGGTTGTTTAGCTAAATCCACTGGAGAGTTTGAAGGTGATAAAACTAGAAAAGAGAACTAGGGAGATGTTTCCTTGATTTAAAATATCTTGTGCAAATGGAAGAAAGGTAAATCTGAGAGAGTTTGAAGGGATATTTGACAGAATTTGATGGAAAGCATACTCTGAGGTCAAGGAAGAAGAAAAGTACCACAAATAGGAGTACAGGCTGAGTAAAGACTGTTTGGTTCAAATCCCAACGCCACAACTATTATGATCATGCAAGTTAGTTTACATCTCTAAGCTTCAGTTTCCTTCTATATAAAAAGGGGATCATAGCAGTTTCCATATCAAATCAGGGTGGAACTGTGCTTAGCAAGCAATAAGCAACAGCAGTATCTATAAATAGGTAAAATATATAGCTTGATATTTTTTAAGGAGAGGTTGATGAAAGAGATTTATAGTTTGGGATAGTGTGATTGAACTCAGTAGGAATTAGAAAATTAGAACAGGTTGGAGAGGGAAAATTGGTAAAGTCTATTCATAGTCATGTTAAATATGGAATAATATCAAGGTACATGAACACAAATGGTCAATAGTCCTGTGCAATATAGGACCAGAGCCTAAGTGAAACACTGGGTACATGGCTAGATATAGAGGAGTTACTGCAGTAGTAATAGCTCACCCCCAGGAAACAGGTGAACTCATGATGTGAGAAAACAAAAAGAAAGAAAAATAAAAAAAGGTCTGAGGACTCAAATTTGGACAGTGCCTGCAGCAATCAACCTCTTTACATTTGATTCAATCCTGTCTTTCATTACTCAGTAATTGCTTCATCCATGTTATTTTTGTTATCAAGTGATCACCATTTATTGAATGTCTGTGGTCATCAGGTAGTCTATAATGCACTTTGCTTATTACCCACTTTAGTCCTTATACAAACCTATGAGGCAAGTATTATTATTCCTATATTATAGATGAAGAAAAGGAAACTCAGAAAAGGTTAAAAATTTGCCTATGACCCACAGTTAATGACAGGCAGAGCCAGAGTAAAGCTGAATTTTCAGTGTGTGATTTGTGGCCTATGCTTTTCCCACTACCAAACATTACACTGCCTCTCAACTGGGGTGCAATTTTGTCCCCTTACCGAGAATAAAGGCAAGACGGAATTTTTGTGGCACATTTTAAGATATGGACATGTATTAGAACCTGAGTTATTGTCGGTGCCCAAATTAAAACAAAAACAAAAACTTGGCTGGAAGTGTAGCTCAGTGGTACAGCACTTACCTAATGTATGGGACCTTCGGCTTGTTTGATCCGCAGTACTGGAAAAACTTATTTTTAAAAACTTGACATTTAGCTAGGGATTTAGCTCAGTGGCCTCCCTCGCCTGCCTCCCTGCCGAGCCAGCCTCCCTGCCTCGAAAGCTCAAGGTCCTGAGTTCAATCCCGGTACCAAAAACAAACAAGCAAATAAACAAACCTTGACATTTAAGTGACTTCTTCAGCCTTATATTGAATGATTTCACTGGAATTGCTGATATACTAAAAAATGGATCTGGGAACCCCAAGATGGAACTAGACCATTTACTGCCTTTCAAGAGTTGCTCAGTTTCCAAGTTAGAGGTCTCAAGAGGCAGTGACTGAGTCTGTGTGAAAGGTCGGCAAAGAACATTCTCTTCTGGCCTCTTCCTAAAGGTGCCCCTTTGGCCCTCAGAGACCCCTTTTCACGTCAGGAGTCTCCTTTTCTCATGGAACTTTCTTCACTGAAACCCTCTACCCAGCTCCTCAAGAAAGCTCACCTCCGCCATGAAACCCCGCATCTCCTAAGGACCCCCCACCTCCTCACGGAACTGTTAAGTAGCTAGGGATCGCCCCAACTGTAAAGGAACCCTCAGGTCGCAAAACTCTCCTCACAGAACCCCATCTCCTCCCGGAATTCCTTTTCTTTCTCCTCAGAGCACCACAATTCTTATCTCAGTGAAACTCCACCTCCTCACGCACCCCTCCGTTTACCAAAAGAACCTGCCCATCTCCTCTCCTCACTGGCGCCCTCCGGCTCCCGGGCCCAGCCTCACCCCGCGGTTCCTCCACAGAGAGCCGGTGCAGCTCGCGGTAACGCTGCAGCGAGCGGACGTGCGCGGCGCGGCTGACCTCGGGCGGCGGAGACCAGCTCCGCGCCCGGCCCCGGGCTCCAGATTCCTCCCGGCCCCCGCTGCCGCTGCAGCTGCGGCCCCGCTCTTCGGGAAGCCCCATCACTCAAGTTCCAAGCACGGCGGCAGCTCCAGCAGCCTCGCCTGGTGCCGGGGAGTGGAAAACAGTCTAACACCCGGAGATGGAGCCTTTATACGAGGGACGGGACCTGGTAGTGGGGTGGGTCCTAGGTAGTCAGGGATGGGCGGGGCCGTGTGGTGAGGGCGGGGCCAGACTTACCGAAGACAGAGATACACTGTACTGTGAAAGTCGAAGGGTAGAGGCGGAGCCGACTTGCCGGAAGGGGAAGAGCCGTAGAGTGAAAGCAGAAGGGGCGGAATGGGGCGTGACCGGAGAGAGTGGGATCGGGCAATCACAGCGCCGGGGCGGGACCAGGCATGACAGGCGAGGAGGTGGACCCATGGAGTGATGGGGAGTAGCCGGGGTAAATGTCACAGGACAGGAGGCAGGGCCATGGAGTGACCAAGCTGGGGTTTTGGAGTGACAGATAAGGGGTTGGCTTAGGGCAGGGCTCTAAGGAGAAAAGGCTGGGGTAATAAGTGGAGTTGGGTCAAGTCCATTGCAGAATCTTCTCGCGGTCTGATCGCACAGTCCCGACTGTCATTCTACCGAGTTGGAAAGCCACATGGAGAGCAGTGTTCCAGGTGACAGCCTTTCCACCAAGTCCCCTCTTCTCTGAGCAACACCCCATTCTGACCTCAGGAAAAAGTCCTCGGCCTTGAGGGCGCAGCCCTCTGAACAGGGCACCCTTCTCTGCTAACCCTGGGCCCTGCTCAAATTTTCTCAGAGTTCTGAGAACGTTTTCATTCTCCTTGCTTCCATAAACCTCCACCCAAATCTAAACTACAAGAATCTTTACGTGAAAACTAGGAGAAGCCTTCAGAAGAAGCCTTTTTAAAACAAAGACAGAAACAAAACGATATTCCTCACTTCACAAATGGTAAACCCAGGAAAGAGAAGTAAGTTTTGTAAGATTAGAAAGTAAATAACGACCAAGTTAGGAGCAAGTTAGAAGAAAGCCTAGGTTCCCTGACTTCAATCTGTTTTTATTGTCTCGAGTTGAAGCTAAGGCTTATAGAATACCAAAGTCTATGTAAATAGGAGGAATCATTCACATTCTCATTGCTTTCCAGCTTCTTTATCTCACTAAGGGATACCTCTCACTTGCCACAACTTGAGCTCAGCTACCTCTGGCTTCCCTCTACTCTCTCCACCCAGAAAGAAGCCTGGCAGGATCCTCTCTCTCCTACCTGCACTTACCACCAATAAGGACTCCCTGACCCACATGTGGTGGTGCACACCTATAATCCCCACACTCAGGAGACTGAGGCAGGAGGATTGCTTCGAGTTCAAGGCCAGCCTGAACTACATAGCAAGGCCCAGTCTCAAAAACAAACAACAACGGGGGAGGGATTTACCTCAGTGGTCCCACACCTGCCTGAAAGCACAAGGTCCTTAGTTCAACCCACACACACACCAAAAACCAAAAACAACAACAAAAAAATAAGGGTCCACCCTACTGGTCAACTCATGGGCTCACTGTCAAGTCAAGAAGAATCCTTAAATACCTAAGTCCAAGAGTGAGTCTGAGGTCTGAAACAGTCAGCCTCTGTCTCCTGGTGTCTACGAAGGGCTTACAACTCCTCCCTTTCTGTCTGTTCCTCTGTTCCTTGCCCAGATGACCATAAGCCCAGCATACCCTTAGTAGAAAAGTCTCCTCATGTTCAGACATATAATGCAGAGCCTACTCAGTCCTCAAGAAAAGGATCTCAGGGCCCACCAGGGCACACAGACTTCATGGAGTGGACACGGACACCAGCGATGGGACAGATACTTAATCAAAGAGACATCACTCACATTGAAGGAGCACACACTTCACTGAAGGTATGTGGACTTCACTAAGAGAGTACAGATCTTTCAGGGGAAGAGGTGTCAGATCCCACAGAAAGGCTTGAACTCTGCTACAGGGATGTAAATGCCATTGAACGGCACTGATTCTAATGGGATATAATTTCATCCTAGGAGATACGGATACAGACTTTGCCAAGGAGATTGGACCCCAATGAGAGGACTCCAACCCCACCGAAGAGCCTTCAAATACACTGAAGGAGTGAATATCACTGAGGGGACACAGACTTCACTTAGTGGGGACAGGTCCCACTAAGGAGATCAGACCTCACAGAAGCAAAATAGGACTTCACTGAGGAAATAATGTCCTCTCTGTGGGGAGGAAGCACGTGTAATTCTACCTATAGATATTGAGACAGTCATCATATCCACCCACCTCCACCACACAGCTCTGAGTGACCCTGTCTCTCCTTTCAATCTCTCCCAGCCCTTTCTCTAAAACCCAACAGTTTCCTACCCACTGCCGTCACCTCCTGTCTACAGGTGGTACTGCAGCAGCTGTGCCCATAGTAAATGCTAAAGCTGATTGTCTTTGAGCCCGGAGTCTGGTGTTAGGGAAAGAGTAGTGTGTCCAGGGGCTTGACCTGCTTCCTCCATCTGCCTGTGGGCTGTGTAATAGATATCTGGAGTACAGGACTCGGAAAGAAAACATCTCTCATCCTTAGGAGGTGAAGAAGTAGCACAAGCTGTAGTGCAGTTGCAATTCCTGAAAATGTGGAGGGGATGGATGGGTTTGGACAGAATGAGAATCCACAAGATTAAAGTAATGATGCTGATGGCATTGAGTAACTGCCAAGCCCTTCACAAGGCACCTTCCAACCCTTATTTAATCCTCCTCATAAATCTTTAAAACGAATACTATTGTTCTTTCCATCTTAAACATGAAGGAGACTGTTTAACTCAAGATCACACATACTTTGGCAGTACTATCAGAAACAGAACTCAGATATCTAGACTATAGAGACCCATTCTCTCCCTTTTATCCTCCCCATTCCCCCCTCAACCCCATCTTCCCAGACTATTACTTTTTTTCTCAAAATGTCCTTTCCAGAACCACATCAAAAAACTCTTAAAATGACAATAAATATTCAGGTTCCAAAGACCTTGTTCCAGCTTACTGAATCATGATCTCTGAAATGGAATCTGGGAGTTTGCTTTCAAAGATCCCAACACACACTGAAGTTTGAGGATCACTCTCTTACACTGATGGATCAGGGTTTCCCGATGAGGTTGCTGTTGAAAGAGGATCTGAGGTCAGAAGAGATCCGTTATCCAAGGAGGGGTTTGAAGGTGAAAACACCGTCAGGGATGAAGTAAGAGCTGGGATTTTCAGAAGGTTCTGGAGGTGGGTTGAAAGCAGAGGTCTAGGATGGAAGTAGTCTGAGATTGGATGAAGAGCACCTTATAGTCCAAGGAGAGGTTTGTGGTCCAAGGAGTTTTGGATCTGAGACAAGATCTGGGCTCAAAAGGATTTGTGGTTAGAAAAGGGTCTGTGGTCCAAGGAAAGAGTCTGGGGTCTGCGTAAGATACTAACTGGATTCAGAATGGAAGAAGGAGGCCGGGGATTTAGCTCAGTGGTTCCGCTGCCTACCTCGAAAGTGCAAGGTCCCGAGTTTGATCCCCGGTACCAAAAAAAAAAAAAAAAAAATGCAGAAAGGAAGAAGGAAGAGATCGGGATGCATGAATAGCCCTGAGCCACCATCGTCGCGCTTATAGCACGCTCACCTCGCCAACCCTCCACAGCCTCCCAGCTCTCCATCCTCCCGGCCCTGCGTGCCGACTGCAGGTCTGACAGCTCTAAGCAGGTGGGGGCGAGTCAGATTAGGACACTAAACTGTGGGGGCGCCCCCTCCTGGCTGGCCAGGAGCTCAGGCCCCGCCCTCCGCCTTCGCACCCCCCACCCCCGCCTCAGCCACTTCCGGCAGTCGCTGCGCTGCTGGGGGGTGCGGGCGAGGATGGCGACGGAGAACGAGGCCAGCCAGGAGAGCGCCCTGGGCGCCTACTCACCGGTGGACTACATGAGCATCACCAGCTTCCCGCGGCTGCCCGAGGACGAGCCGGCGCCAGCGGCCCCGCTGAGGGGCCGTAAGGATGAGGATGCTTTCCTGGGAGACCCCGATACCGGTGAGGCCCGCTGGCCGCGTCCCTGCCTCTCCTTGGGAAGTCCCCTGTCCTCCTGTCCCCTGTCGCCTGTTCTGAGCATCCACCTCCAACTTCCATCTCCTGAATTCATTCCCTTCCTCCTGGACCTCTCCCTTATCTCTGTTAATTATCTGGTGGAGAAGGGTACATTTCTGCTTTGGAGGCTTAGGATGCGACAAGGGAGACGATGCCAGGGACTGCAGTAGGAAGGATTGGGGTTACCTTTTGGGAAGAATGAACTAACCAACCAAACGGAAGAAATGTTGGAGGGGAGAGCCTAAGAAATAGCTAGGATCACCCAGTGAAGGCTTTTCTCTAGCCACGGAGGACGGGATAGGAGAAACCAAGTCAGCGACTGCAGCAGGAAGGATAGAGTCTAGGTTTTAAGAAGAACTTCCCTTCAACCAGGGATTATGGGAAGCAGAGAGTCTGGAGAGATCTGAGAATCTCTTCATGTCCAGGGAGGCTTAAGGAGAACATGATTTCCCTCGGCCTGGGAAAGTTGGGTTTTGGGAGACAGGGGGATGGACTGCATGACCTCTCAAAGTCCTTGGGGACTAGAGTACCTTTGCTGTCCTGTGGATTACCCCATCCCTCCAGGAGCCGTGGATCTGGCCATGATGTTATTAAGATACCCCACTCCCTAAGAAGCAGTCTCCAGAATTTTACTGTGTTCTCAGCCCTCTACATTAACTGCAAAGAGTTGGGGGTAGGGAGAGAAGAGACTGGGTTTGGAGGAGACCTGGAGGCCAAGGGCTCCCAGGCCAAGGGCTTCCCTGTTGCTATATCTTCTAGCCATGTGGCCCAGCTCTCTCCTCCCCTCCATTCTAAATCCTCCATCCCCCAGCCCTCTTTTCCTCAACGTCACTTCCTGGCATTAGAGCATCCTTCTGCCTCATTCTTCCCCCCAGTGCTTGCTCTTGAACCTTATCCTTTACCGGCCTGCAGATGCTGCTTCTCTGGCCTAGCCTTCTCTGTCTTGGCCCTTGCATAGCTGTTTCCAGACTAGAGGCCCCCAGTCTTTGCCCCTCTACTATTTTCTGGTTATCTGGTCCTGACAAGCATCCCCTATCACCCTGACTGGACCACACTCCACCTGCGATGGGGTTGAGAGGATGATGACGGTGGGCTGTGGAGGCTTTGGGGCATGCATTTCAGGACTGCAGGTCAAAACTTGGATCCAAAGGGTAGCAAGGACAGGAATGGGAAGATGTGTCCTGGAGAATACCAGCCCGAAACCAGGTCTTTCATTTAGAGATCATGAGGGTTGCTTCTATTTGAGCACTGCCCTGATTAACTGAGTTGTAGTAGGTGTACTTATCTGACTGAGCCTTTCGGCTCAACAAAGAACACCCATCTCTCCTAAGCTAGAGATTGGATAGCTTTTATACATTTTCTCCTGACTCCCTATAAATGTCTTAGCACTTTTTGAAATCCTGTGATTATTTGTTTATTTGTGCAATGATTTGATCACTATATGCCAATAAACCCCATGAAGGCAGCGATCATGACTGTTTTATTCATTATCCTCTCTCCAGCATCCAGCATAACAGCATTGAACACTCAATAAATAATCATTGAGTGAATAAATAAACGAGATGTGAGAATGACAGGGAAATGAATATTTCCAAAACCTCAGGAAATATATTCAGTCCAGGCACTGCCCTGATGTGTATAGAAATCCAACAAAGACCCTGATCACTTGAGCTTCTGGGACCTTAAACCTCATGATAAGGTTGTACACCAAAGCTCCCAGGGACTTGCCTTATAGGTTCCAAGGACTTTGCCATCATATTAGTGTAAGGGTTTTAGTGCCATTTCACCTATCCCTGCTTCCAAATCCCAAGGTTCTTTTGGTCCAGGTAGACCAGCTCAACGGCTAACATGGCCTCCTACATTGTCAGCTTCTTAGTCAAGATTTTGGTTGTGCCTAGCTAGCCTCTAGCCTTCCACTTCCCAAAAGCAAGTGCCAAGTATCCCACAGCAGACCCTGTGGAAAACAGCTGGATGATGACTAACCTAAGGTTGGGAAATTCTTTCCTTTTTCCTGTGTTCCAAGCCCATGTGTGCTCCTCTCTCCCAAGCATCTGCCTGTAGATACCTTGCAAGTCCCTCACCTTCAATATACGGTATTCTGTGCTGATATCAGTATCTCTTCCCCATACACCTGCTCTTTCTCCAATGTCATTCTTAATGACACTGCAATTCAGCCCGTCTCCAAGATGGAACCCCAGGGGCCATCCTGGACCCCTTCTTTTCCTCTCACTTCCAAAAGGTGATCAATTCTTTCTGTCCCCCTTCTGTCTTCCAAATTTCATCTCACCATCCTGTCATCACTATTGTAGACTAAGCCACTGACCTCTCGTATCTGCATTACTTATAGGTTCCTAGCTACTCTTCTGCCTCTGCTCTCTATCCAGTCCATCTACTACTACCCTGCACGTCTCGTCATGTTACCCCTGCTTCAAAATTTGTAGTGGTTCTCCCCTTAAAGGAGTAAGCAAGCCAAGGATGACCTCAGTCTCCAGCCAAGAGCTCTCTCCTGAACTTTGGACCCACATAATCAACTCTATTCAGGGTTCTTTTGTACTAAACTCAACTAAAACAGCTACATCTAGAGGAGAGTTTTAGCTGGGCATGGTGGCACATACTTGTAATCCCAGCATTTGGCGGGCTGAGGCAGGAGGATCACTGCAAGTTGAGGCCAGCCTGGGCTACATAATGAGTTCAAAGCCAGCCTGAAATACTTAGGGAGACTGTCTAAAAAAAAAAGGAAGGAAAGGAAGTCCAGGAATAGAGGGCTGCAGGCAAACAGATCAAGGTGCCTAAAAAAGAATTAACTTTTCTCCATCTTCTGCTCTGCCTTCCTTTTTATGGGCTTTCATTAGAAAGTTTCCCACTTTCTTGGGGACAGGATGCCCCCAAGAGCTATAGGCTTACATTCTACCAGCTTAGTGGCCTAGGCAGAGAGTTTTTCTTTTCCCCAATAGTTGTAGCAAAAGAACAAAATTTGAGTCTTATTCACTTGGTTTGGGTCACATGCTTGTCCCTGGATTGGCAAGGCTTAAGCCATATATACTTACCCAGTTCAAGGAGAGGGAGTTGGCTGAGGGAGAGGGGAAGTGTTTCCTAAAAGAAAACTGAACAAGGATAAGTTGATAAAAATCAGATGTCTGCTGGGCTAGCTCCTCCTGGTGTCCCACAAAATCAAAATAGTAAAAATTCAACTCATCATTTTTCTTCCAAAAGACTTGTTTCTTCCAGTCCCAAACTAAACTTTTCCCAGTGTCCTGGCATTGCTCTTGTACATCAGTAAAATCAATGGTATTATTGCCCCAGCACTTACATAGTACATACAGTAATACTCAGTAATTTTTTTGTTTTCTTATTTTTGTTGTTTTTATTTTTTCTATTTCTTTTTGCTGAATAAATGAATAATTTAATTATGGACTGGTGGAGTGGTCTTAAATAGACTCAGTTGTGACAGGGCCATATCACCTTCCTCTCGTGCATCCTTTTATCTGACTGGAAAAAACATACCAAAGGACAAGTACCTGGAAAATATCAACTAAAATTAGCTTGAAGGTTGGTTTTTAAAGTTGGAATAGTTCATGCAAAACAATGAAAAGGAGGCTTTCAAATTACAGACTGTCGGTTTCTCTTACTTATTCGTTTTATTATCTTAGGCACTATCACCTTTCTGAGCCTCAGTTTTCGCATCTGTAAAGTGGGGAGAGTGGGGCCTCTCTCATAAAGCCACACAAACCCTATGCCAAGTGCCTGGTATAGCATCAGCATCAATAAATATAAGTTCAAAACCCCTTCCTGGGCCAGGGATTTAGCTCAGTGGTTTTGCCACCTGCTGTGCAAGCGCAAGGACCCAAGTTCGATTCCTGGTACCAAAAAAAAGCCCTTTCCTGAACTTCTTTTGAC